GGCAGAGAAGGTCAGACCCAATTCACTTGGATCAAACAAAACTTCCCAGGCCCACCCGCAACAGCAGTCGCTGATCAGCTCACCTAAGACCATTAGGCCACCGCGGCTCGACCGTCCTCCATCCGAACTCTTCACCTATGGTGACGTTGTCTCGGGACGGCCAGTCAGCCGGGTTTGCATCAGTGGCCACACGATCGATGAAGACTCTTGCTTGGAGCTTCAGGATGAGATCCCAAAAACAAGCTACGAGCAAACAGAGATCTTCGCGACTTGAATAGCCTTTGATCAAGGCGGCTTCTACCACCTCTGAATCAATAAAAATGAAAATATCCGCATGAATCATACGATCGGAAAAAGCTAAGATCGGAGCGAGCATTTCCACAGGAATAATCTGCGTCTGTCGAGCCGACCATCTCTTCTTTACTTCAAAAGGAACTACCTCAGTGAACTGAAGGGCATGATTCATGCGTCTATCAAAGAGCACAGCGCCAACACGATCGGGAAGCTTGACACTATCTCTCGGATCTGGAGAGAACCCGTCCGTGAACAGGACTACATCAGCCTTCTTAAGTGCACAAAGGTCGATCGTCCTTGGAGGCCCCGAAGCCACGAGTTTCTTCCACTGCTCTAGGGAGGCTCTCAGAGCTTGATCAAGCTCGAAAGCCTCGAGCTGGGAGCCGTGGGCGTACTGCCTCTCCGAAATGGATCTCAGGAAAGCACGGCCGACTTTTCCCCACAATTGACTGGCTCCGAACATGAGCTTGCCTTTGAGTTTGCCCGCATGACCTGGCTCCAGAACATTTGCAGACAGAATGCTATCAATTTCTTCGAGCAGGTCACGACGACGATCCGGCTTGATCTCAAGGATCCATTCATCGAGGTTGTATGTCACACCCAGAATGGTAGGCTTCGAACAGAGCTGCAGTTTCTTCACATCGAACTGGGCTCCTAGCCACCAATGCACCGATTGTGCCACTTCGAAGGCGGACTCTACGCACTCGACCGGCTCGAAGCCGTATTTGTCATCATAGAAATTGAACGCTATCAGCTTGAACAGCTTCATGAGGATCTCGTTGATGGCTGCTGAACGTCTGTTGTAGTTGTAAACTGCAGACACCAGCCCAAATGAATGTCCCACCATGACAAAGAAAGCAGGGCAACCCGAGCCGGGGTCCTTCAAGCAGATCACACTGAACTTTCTGTGGTCAGGTCTGATCCCCACTTGGCGATAAGCCTTCCTCTCATCTAGAACCCAACCAGCAAACTTCGAACTCGGCATCAATGATCGCATCAACCTCAAGGCTGCTACATTGGTGTCTGTCGAGGGCAGCTGCAGTTTCTCTGTGATCACAGTTATCTGGTTGATCAAGTTCGTAGTTGCGCTGTCACAGCCACGGACCTTGTTCTTTTGGACGACCTCGAAGCGCTGAGTAGGTATCCAGTCCATCGTTGCCGAGCAGGCTTGTGACCTCTTCTGGTGTGGCAAAGGGGCCCAGAGTCGAGCCTTCTGCCACATCCTCGAGCGTAGCTTCCCAGATCTTGGTCAGGTTCTCTGATATCGGCACACCTCTGACTCGAGCAATGATTTTTGAACGAATCCCCCAGGCCCGATCAATGGCGTATTGCACTGGCAGCTGCGGCTGCGACTTCTCATAGGCTGGCCACCTGCTTGAGCGAGCAATCGGTCCGACAATAGGAAACCCTTGCAGCAGAAGATCCGGCAGAAAGGCATCCACAGAATTGCAGGCCTGGAGCATCTCGTAGTAGAGGGCTACGTGGCAACAACGACCAAGTTGTAGTGGCTCATGATCCTGGCCGCCCCTCAACAAAGATCGTAGTGCCGGATCCGGCTGTGCTGCCAGTAAGGCGTCAGACTGAGGCAAGAGCTGAACAGCGCGAGCGCGCCAATGTGCGAGCGCGGCTTGCCGGTGTTGCCGTACTTGAGTTGGTTGACGAGCCACTTGAGTGATCGTGTGCTTCAACAAGTCATCCAGCTCGACTTCCACGCACAGAGGGTGGGGAATGGCGAGCGCCCACGCGATGGCGACTCCCGGTTCAGTTTCTGTATCAAGCAGTGGCTTGCGAGCCCCTCGCTTCAGTTGATAACCCGAAGCTTCGGCCTTCAGTGCTGTGACAGCTTGACGATGGTCCCGCCACCGCAGCGGCTGACCGACCGGTCGTTTCCGCTTGGAGGCAGTGAGGCCGAAACTCAAGGCGAACTGGGGGGTCTCGTCGCTGCAGCACGTCTCAATGCATCGAGCCATAAGTTGACACATCTGAACAGGGTACACTTGCGCCAGCTTGGTACGGAAGACTTCTTTCTTGAAAAGTCGGACCAGACCTTGCCGTGCAGACGTTCATGACGGTGACCCCCTTGACAACGCCGCTCCAATTGTGTGAACACTTGATGTGAAACCAAAAGTGAGGTCGGCTTCACTGAAGGAGCACCGAATTCACACTGATCGAAGCTGATCATAAACGCGCGACATGCGCGAGCAAGCGCCTTCGTCGGTGGTGCAGCCCATAATAAGCTGGCCTCGGGGTTCTCGATGGAGAAGTTGCCCCCTCGAGCAAAGACAGCAGCGCAGGCTTCAGCCGATCGCAGCAGAAAAAGGTTGCCCAAAAAGACTAACGCAAGGTTCTCTTCAGACAGACCAGGCAGCCCGAGCGGGTAGGTCGCCGACCGCAAAGGCGGAGGGCCTCCGTCCAACTTTCGTGCACTCGAGAAGGTGTTGCACGGTGTGCCACAGTGGAGAAAGAGGATTGCTCCCGAGCGACATAAAGCGAGGATGAACTCCCATTGCTCAGCGTCAACCACATCGAACGGTGTGGGCACTTCTTCACAGATCGTGATGTCGATCGGCGGCAAGCAGGGAATGTTGAGCGAGCGCACTGCCGAAGTCAACGTAGCTGTACCCGAGAAGACCTCGAGGAACCACGGCCCATGCTTGCGAACGAGCTCGACGTCTCGAGGGACTTCACTCCACGAACGCCACACTAGGCGAGCAAGTGGCACTGTCAGCTGAGGAGGGCTAGCTTCATCCGTGCCGAACGGCTCAACCTTGTTCTGCAGAGGGGCAGTCTGAGCCGAAGAACTGCCCCCCGATAGCGAACTTGTTCAGTGGTTGCCGTGCCAAGGGTGGTCCTTGCCACACTCGACACAGCTGTGAGCGGCTTTGCACTGATCACCAAAGCGACAGCCCAACGAACAGTTAAACCAAGGGCACCGTTTTCGACCGGAGTACTTGAAGCTGTTGATCTTGGACCATTCTTCTGCCGGCGCACGGGCGTCTTTCTTTGGAGCTGCCTTGTTCTTGCTGACCATGTGGTCCCGAGCGGACTGCACGAGCTTCTTCTGGCGCTCGCGGCGAGCTTTGTTCTTCTTGGCCTTGGAGGAAGCAACCGGCCGCGGAGGTGTCTCCGAACGATCTCGCTTGGCCCGCTTGGGCGGAGTAGCTGGGGCGGACTGCCCCGCCTGTTTGAATTTGTCGAGCTCAGCGCTCGATCGAGCGTCGTTCCACAGCTGCTTGTGGTTGGTGAGCACTTCGAGCAAGGCTGCTGAGAAAGTACTGAACGTCTTGCGATGATCTGAGTTGAGGCGGTAGACCTTCTTCCTGATCAGAGAGTCAACAGTGAGCAGCAATGCCAGACCTTTGTTGTCATGGCGCCATTCTTCGAGCTCGGACAAGTAGCGCAAAGGATCTGCCACATGGGTGAAGTCACAAATGTTGAGGTATTCCAACGCGACGAGAAAGGCGTGCAGCTTGTCCATGACTTGCGACTCGGACGCAGCTGACACTGGTTGATCAACAGTAACCACCTTGAGCAAGTCCTCTGCGTTCTTGGACAGTCCACTCTTCTGGGCGATCTGCTCACTCCGTGTTCGCATCTCTCCCACCTCATAGAATGGCACGGATCCGTGCACCAGGAAGTCGCGCTGGATGCGCTCCACGAACTTGCGATGAGGTTCCCGATGATGGGGCAGGAGGACGTCAGGGTGCTTCAACACGAACTGTTCACGAAACTCTGCATGATCGTCTCCAGGAATCTCGGGAACTTTGGAGGGATCCTCTTCCATTTTGGCTCGCCGGGACGCAAAGTGCTCTTGGAGAGTCGAGCAAGTGCGCCAAATGGCTGCCAAGGAGGTGAGCGCCAGTTCTTGCGCTGCTGCATCTGCCCCAAGCAGGGTGTCATCCCCGATGATGGTCTTCAAGGTGGTCTTGACCGCCCCGATCGAGTCTCCGAGCATGGCAAAGGTCTCCACGCTGAGCAGGCCTTTGTCGGCCGCCAACTTACACAAAGTCGTGGCCAGGCTGTTGCGCCCGAACACTTGGCGGAGACTCAGCTCCGGAGTGGCCGCTGCATCGTACACGGTCCGATCGACCATGCTGGCGTGAAAAGCTCTGAGCTCAGGACGAAAAGGCTGCGGAAAAACACAAAACCATACATGGGCAAACACGAGCAAGAAACATCACAAGACTGCATGCAAACTCGCTTGTGGGTGCATAAGCACGACGGCGGGACCTACTAGTCTGAACTGGCGCTTCCTCGAGCATATGAGGCCTCAACCTCGGGCCGGGCCTTTGCACATGCCTTGCAGAAGACGCTGATGTCAGGCAGCGTCGATCCGACTGACGAACACTCACTCAAAGCGAACTTGCTGCACGCTGTCAGGGAGTCATTGCTTCGTGCTGAGCAGTGAAACTTGTACTCATAGTAGGTTGCCGAGCTGGCAGTCTTGACGAAGAATTCGATGTCGTTGAGCTCTACGTCACGACCGTCCAACAACAGGGTCTCAGCGTCCTCTTGAACTGGGTGAGCACTTTGAACTAGGTCATGAACGAGCTGTCGCACCATAACTGCTGGAACCGCCGATCTGTTTCTGGTGTACTTTAAAACCATGGGGCCCGGGTCTTTCCAGTTCGCCTGGAGCCCGATCTCCTCTGTCGAGCGGCCCGCGTGGACGGCGGCGTCCAACAATGTAACACGACAAGAGTGAATGGTCAAGTTGTTGATCACTCTCGCACAACTGACTTGCTCTTCCTGCCGGAGCCAGTCAGCACCGTCGATGGCTCTCCGGCTGAGGTATTTCAGCCACTGCAACGATCGTGGATATGAGGGTGGTTCATTCTTGAACTCGTCCCGAGCATTCAGTTCAGGAACCCAGTAGTCACGATCGAACGACTGAAAGTCTTTGAACAAAGCCCAGCCTGTTTCGAGCCACGCCGACTGTCTAAAGCCTACTTTAGGCACTACGAACCTAGTGCCAACCCTCTTTCTCTCGACCTTGGTCTGCCAAGCCACACCGAAGAGGCCTTCATCTCTCATCTCCAGCTCGTGCGGCTTGACATGAACCGCGTCATCGAATCGAAGCGACGCGAAGATCATGCAGAGCAACCACCACACGAAAATTCGCAGGGGGACCTGATCAGTCTCGCGCATCACCGTCGTTTCGAGCGCGCCCACGACTCCGATCGGCAGCGGGATGGCCTCTTTCAAGGTCTTGGCTCTCTCGTTCACGACCTGTTGGACGAGGGCTTGGAACCGATGGTCATCGAAGTCCGGACCGTCGATCGCCAGCCGTGAACACACCCACTTCACTGAAGCTCTCAAGGATGGTAGCACCGAAGGGCCACACTCTCGCTCGTTGAGAAAAAGGGCGTATTTCAAAATCTTCTCGATTGACATGGGGTAGATCTCGAACGAGTTGACCCCTGACCATTTCTCAAACCTTTCAAAAGTGGGGATGTGAGCAGCCATGGTTCTATGTGCACCCGCGATGAGGACGAGCTGTTTCAGCTGAAGCCGTTCTCCTGGGGAGGGCTCCGCACTGTGCTCATCTTCCTTGAACAGGCGCGAGAACTGTCCCGCCCGCTGGGCGATCGCTTCAAGGCGAGCCGCCCACCTCCATTTCTCACTCTTCTCTTTGTCGAGCAGCGGTGTCTTTGATGAAGACGACGACGGATCCACTTTGGCCCTCTTGGGCTGAGGGGCTTGCTGCCTCAACAAACCTGTAATGGCGGCTTGCTTTCTCAGGCGGGCAGCTGCATCGACCGGAGTGGGGGGCAACGATCGTTCGCACAAGCCAAACCCGAGTTGAACAGCAGTAGATTCGAAAAACGTCTTCTCAATCGACACCACTAGTGACCAAAACTGTTCGAGCATCCCTTCACGACCTTGGAAAGCGTTCGCCGCTTTTGCCTCGAGGGAGGAAGCCACACTCATCACCTTCCCCGCGAACTGGGCACCCGATTCGAGGTCCATGGCCGAAATGAAGGCTACTCCCGCAAAAGGGGAACTCCGAACAGCATCCCTGAACTCGCCATCAAAAATGGGGAGAGCCAGGATTTTACTGACCCAGCGATCAGGGTCAGCCATCTCGAGACAAAGAAACTGCCGGCCCGATCGTGATCACCCCGGCACCGAACGAGGTGTCTCAGGCCAGGTGGTGTGGGTCAAGGGTCGAGCGACCCCCAACAAGAAGCCCCGAAACACGAAGACCAGGGGGACCACCCAACCGAACACAACCGACGCACCTGACCCACACGACCACCGGCGAGAGCGCAAGGGTTCCCGACGCGTCCACCACGGGCCTCAAGCCGATCGAGTTGGAAGGGACGTGATGCCGGTCGGTCACTAATCGAGCGACTCGAGTGAGCACAACTCCATGTAAACAAAAAGTTCACGAGCTAGTTGAAAAAGAGCTGAAGCACTCGAGCGGATGAAAAAGAGCTCACTCTTACTTAGCTCAAAGTGGTTGATCAACCCTACCCATGGAGCACAGCATGCCAGAGCAAGTCAGAACCCCTAACTGAACAGTTAGTGCTGACTCGAACGGCTTGAGGCCCCTGGGCTTCCACCACCCGATCTGGGATTCTTGCCTCTGCGGTCGCAGCAGTCCGCGACGTCGAACCGCGGCCGATCGGCGTGATCGAGTGTCACACTCAAAACTGCAGAGCTGATCAACCTACACGACTCTCCAAAGTTAAATTGAACGTTTTACACGCATGAGAGAAATTACATCAACACGACACTGCAAAGCCCGTCGCCCTGTTTCATTCCAGAGCTCCGAACGAAGTCCTTCAGAGCTAATTGAAATTCGATCGGGTCGAACCGCCCTCTAGACATCCGCAAAAGATGGATTCGGCGGTGCAAACGACTTGGGCTGTGCCACCGTGGTCGGATTGACCTCTTCGATGGTGACCTGCGAATCATGCGAACTGTTCACTGGCCACCAAGGCCTCCGAGCGGCTTCGACAAAAGCCTGGGGCGTCATCGCTGAGCAGTCTAAACTGTCCCCCCGTCTCTGTTCCAGGGTGCGACGAGCCGGCGCCAGGGAACCCACCAACGAAGAGCCTGGCTGAGGCAGCTGACCCGGGTTGGTCATTGAGGGCTTGACCGAGCTCACGGGCGTGGCTGCAATCGTCTCTCCCACTGGCCCTGTAAGTGCTGGAGCCAGCTTCGGAGCCTGATCCAATGGCCTCACGGCCGGGCCCTCGATCAGGGGTGGAACCACCGTTGCTGCAACCTCATCGAGCGGGTTGTGGCACTGGAGCGCCAAAGCCTCTGGTTTCACCAGAGCACGCTCTTTCCTGAACAAAGGACTTTCGCAGACCAGATGCACATTGATGGGGTTGGACTCCACCGCGATCGCGGACACCCTTGGGCCTGTCTCCCGCTCGGTGGGCGCTTCTGTCGCCGCGGTCCAATGAGCATGGATGGCCGCGAGCTGGGACATCTGAAGTTGCTGATCAGGACATTCGACCCTCGCTCCATGCTCGCGACACCACTTGGCGTTGCGGATCAAAGTCGGTCCTGACACTCGACTGACCACTAGCCACGAAGGTGGCACTTGTACCGAGCTGGCCGCTATGTCCAATCTGTCACCAGCGCTGAGAAAGCGCAGTTCCAAGCGATCTGCATCAGCGCCCATTGCGTCTGGCGACGCTGTTGCAACGAAGCGGCATTCCACATGGCACAGTGGAAAGTCCAAGGCAACGACCGTGCCTCCCTCCGAGCATGCGTAAATCTGGCCGCCGACCTCCCAGGCGACTGCCACCACTCTCCAGCCTTGGAAGATCGTGACCACAAAGGCTGGGATGAACACGGTCTCGGCCAAAATGTTGTTGATCGCATCGGCGATGTGCCACAGTTGGATGCTGCAATCCCGATCTGAGCGATAGCCCCGTAGTTTGAAGTGACACAACAAATGACCTTCCAACTTCACCTTGACATCGACCCATGTCGGAGAGTTTTCAGTCATTTGGGGCCATCTGAACGGCTGGAACGCGCTGTGGCTGAGCACCTCTCCAGTGAGGCTGTCCCAGCGAGCGCATGGGGCATTGCCATAACTGGTCATTGACGCGCAGATCGTGACCTTGACTCCATCAAGGGTCTTTGCCATGAAGAGGCTAAAGTGGTAGCCACTCGTTGGAGCCCTGACCAAGTTGCGATCCGAACGGATGTTGGTGTAGGCCAAGGCATTGGTCAGCACTTCGTCCAGGAGCCAACCCTGAAAAGGCGATTGCACTCGGCAGTCTCTGCCATCAACGATCAGAACTGACCTCTCATTCTCATTTCCCCCGGTCTGGGACAAATGATCAGGCAGCTGGGCGTTCAAGGCATTGTGGGCAAGGTTGCCCGGCGCCATCTGCCCCCATCTCACTCCCCTTCTGCCACGACGAGCTGCTTGCTCTTGCTGTCTCCTCAAGCGTCTTGACATAGGGGGCTCATTGGCATGATCAATCAGGCCTCGAGCTGCTTGGTTCACTGGAGCAGTGTTCTGAGCTGGAGCTGCGGCAGGAGGTGGTGGAGGTGGCATACTCTTAGGCTGAGGCTCGAGCGGCGTCCCTCCTTGAGCTTCAGGTTGGCTGGAGTCAGCCTGATCCCTCGTTGACTCCTGTTCAGGTACTGGATCCAGATTGGCGTTGTAGGCCGCTGGTGTCTCAGGATCCAAGTTCACCCATGATGAGGATGAGGAGGAGTCGTCCCAGCGTGTGCTGGCATTGTGCACTTGTCGCTGCATAGCTGAAGGGATCCCTAAGCCCGGTGGGGGTGCCTTTCGAGCAGGAGGAGCACTTCGAGGAGCTCCATCTGTCGCCATGAGACGAGTCGCCCAGGCCCCTAGAACTGAAAAGCTTACCAGGGAAATCTTTCAACCTGGCGACCGTCGAGAGGCGACTAGTCGCCAAAATGGCAGCGATTGATCAATCGCAATACGTATCAAAATTAAATGATCAAAAATAAAAGCTGAACACATTACCGAGAAAGTCCCTAGCATGTCCCAGACCAACCTACCCGTCAACATGCTCACACACTGTCTGGAGCACCGACGACATCCAAAATGTCCCTGCTAGAGTAAACCAAATCACACACACACACACACGTGGACTTCCTGTGCCCTTGTGGATTTGACTCAAAAGTGTCCACAAAGAGAGTGATGCACATGCGCCTTGGGAGGTCTTCTGTATCGGGTGGCAAGCCCCAAAGCCTTTGGTAAAACTCATCATCGGATTCGCCGCTGGACGTCTGTTCAGCAGTCCGCAACCTCCCAGCGATACACAAGGGTACAGTAAGATTTCAAATCCAAAGCGGTCATGATTCAGAATGCCCAAAGTCACCCAGCCCTACTGAAGAAGGATTCCAAAGCACTGGGCACACAAAGAGGAAAAGTGCTTCTACATCTATCTTCACACTGACTGAGACCAATGCAAAAAGCAAGTAGTACAAGTATGTCTATAAATATAAATATATGTATATCTGTGTGTATAAATATATTTATAAAGCTCACCATTGGAACGCGCTGCCTTGCCTCAAGTCCTCAATGTCCTCCTGCCTTTGGCGACGAACTTCTGCTCTGCTCCGAGCTTCAGCACGGTAGTTTCTAGGTTCGTCAAAAGCAGGGTCTGGCTCGTCGAGGGAGAGAATCAATGCAATGGCCTTGGCCAACAAGCTTGGAAGAACCTTTGGTGTAACAAGACAAACAGAAGCTACCAACACTATATAGAAAGTCACCCATCCGATGAGTGCTTTGTCTCCTCCGAATGCTTCCTGGGGAAAGCATCAAAGGCATGCCCTCTAGCACCAAATTGCTTCGTCCGATGCTGAAAGGTCATCTGTCAGCTGCGATGTGAGATTTTCTGAAGCATTCACACGATCTTGGCTTCCAAGTCCTGTCACAGGGTGCACAGGAGAGGTGCATGAACCCTTCTCGGGCTTTGTCACCCCCAAAGCGACCCCATCTCCTACACATTGACCATCACCACTGCTCTGCAACTGCATTTGAAGTTCCAGTGCCACACGAGCATCGTCAATGGGTTCCTGGAGAACAGCAAGAAGCTTCTGCGGCACTCGCTCGGGGCGCCATAAGCGAGTTGCCTCGGAACCAGTCTCAGTGGCGCAGAAGGGAGTATTGCCATCAACGGCCGCCTTCTTGGAGCTCAACTTCGTAAGGCTCTGCAGTTGTTGCAGTTGCTCAGTCCATTGCATCCGCTCCAGGCTTTGTGCCAAACCTTCCAAATGTTTCTTCAATGCACCTTGGGGCATACTTGGAGCTAGCTGCGACTGTCGCTGTATTGTAACGTCCCCTGGGTATCCTTTGCTCTGTCCACGTCTTGGAAGGCCTTTTTTGGAATCTCCTTCTCGTAGCCCGCGCCGTAGCCCGACCTCTGAGGCTTCATCCTTCAAAGGTCCCATGAAATCGTTCTCCTCCGGGAAAAACGGCGACGTCGACATGGGACATGGGACGAGGCAAACAGCAGACGGTTCGGTTCAGGGCTGTTTAAAAAATGTGAAACGTGAAACGATCCTGGACGCTTCTGACCATTCTGTGGATGGCCAGGTGGCTTCCGTGCAATGGGCTACTACATCCCATCCGTCGAACACAGAATGTGCCGACCAAAACATGGCCAAAATGAGAAATCTAGGATGCAAGCAAGTTAAGTTTCCCTAAAAATCTAGGAAGCAAATCATTAGTGCAAGCGCTTCTTCAAGGAAGCTCCCCTCGCCCTCACAGGGGAGCTTCCTTGAAGAAGCGTAAGCTATCCTACATCCAATTATATACTACACCTGAAAGCCCACCGGTCCATCGTCAAGAACCGACCGGTCCATCGTCTTCGTTGCAGCATGTCCCTCCGGTCCATCCGGTCCACGAAAACGATTACTGGTCCATCCAGAAGGTGTATTTTGGCACGTCGTTCGTCTCCCTCTCTCCTGGGCCAAAGCCTTAAGCTGGGAGTCCATCTCGTCAAAGACTCGAGCCTTGCCGGATTTGCCCTCCATGCCGCTTTCGGACGCGCAAAGCGCACGCACGGATGCGGCATGGAAGCGGAGGAAGCGGAGGATGCGTGGAGGAAAAACGTGACGTACACGTCGCAGGCTCTGATTGGTTGGGAGTCACATGTCACCACATGTCACATAGCCGCAAGTCACCGAAAAGGATTGCAGATTGATACATGTTGTTTGGATCCTCAGGTCTGGATTCATGCATCCATCAATTCCGAGGCTAGCAGCTACAGTAGAGGACCGCATCGGCACAAGTCCATTCATGTCCATTCCGAAGCGTCTGGGCCAGCTCAGAAGTGTCAAATCCAATATGTTCATTGCACCGCTTGTTAAATCATGTTAAATCTTTGTCCTCTATGGTTACCGTTTCACAAATGGAAGGTGCTTCCAGCCACACCTGGCCGTTCTCTTGACTTTACCAAAAAAGCTGCACAAACAAACAAGCAGCGAGCTCGACCCGTCGCAGCATCGCGATCGCCTCACCCGCTTTTCCGAGCTTTCTCGTCGCGATACGCGGTGGCACTATCCAACGGCCCAGCGGGTCGGTGAATCCGAGGGCGGTGGCGGAGGCGCGCCGTTCTTCGCCCTGGCAGCGAGGCGCAGAAGAAAGGGCACACGGCAGCCAGAGCAAAATCCAAGCAAACCTAAAAGACCTACGTTTGCTGTTCTGCCGTGCGTTTGTTGGCAAGCTTCAAAATTGAGCAGCCAGAATTTGCCAAGTTATGGTGTTCCCATATTTTCCCCTGTACGTGCTCTTCGTGGGACATCTCAATTAATTATGCAAAAATCGGTCTTCTGACATGACAATGTTGTTGAACCTGCAGAATTTGCACAAATGCATGTATTCACAATCTCTTGTGAGGCTGGAAGCATCCTTCAGATCTGCAAGACCATGCCAGCACGACGCAGCTGCGAACCCAGCCGCAAACCCCGCGGAAGTAGGGGCATCGGTTTGTAACACCTGAAAAACAAACGAATGGAAGCCAACGAGCGCGGCATTGTCCCGGGACAAGCAGACCATGATGCCGCTGCACCTGCGTGGCATACTGCTGCTGGTGCGGCGGCATGGAAAACAACGCACGTCGCGGCGCACTGGCACCAGTCGCCTTTGGCCTCGGTCCAACCACCATGGATCGGGCGAGTTCACCCGTCGAGGATCGGGCGTTCGCAGCGTTCACCCCGGTGGATCCGATCGGAGCGCATCCAGGAGGGCTTCTTTTGTGTGGGCTTCAGCAGTGGCCAGTTCTTTTGACAATCCGCTCGGCTAGCCCGGCATAAAGACCAAGTACGAAGACGCTCAAGTCTCCAACTAGAGGGTTGGCATGGCAGGACTCCTATCTCTTTCCATGGGTTTTAAGCGTCAGTTCGGGAGGGCGCGCGGATGCGCGCGGCCACCCTTTGACCATTTAGAGCGGAATAAGAACCTTCATGGAGCACTCTTCTCAAGAACATAGAGTTCTAACTTCTAACCCACCCAAGTCCTTCAAAGGCCCACATCACTAAGTAGCCAATCCCCACAGAAAGAATCCGAACGCCGAGCCACGGCAAGGGCAAACAGCTGCGCCTGGGCCTTGGCCTTGCCCAGCGCGTTCCAGCCTGGAGCAACGCGCGATTTTGTGAAAAGGTGCCTTGTTACGTTCGTAGCTTCTAGCTACTAGTAATGGCCTCCAACCAAGTCTCGCGATGGCCTCCACCCTAGTAGCGATGGCCTCCAACTTAGTAGCTTCCGAGTAGTAATGCCAGTAGTAAGGTTGATTAACAAAAACCCTTACTGTACCAGTGTGGCTGAAAACATCTCCGTATGGGAAGGTTTTAATGTATCAGTCTATGAGTTGTACATGTATTCGGCGAAGGAACATGCAAGTCTTGCTTTCGGCATCCACCCGTTTGAGCCCGGTGCTTCGCCGCCCGTGGAGTCTCTGGAGCCACCCCAACAAATTCCCTCTTGGCTTGGCTCGGCTGGCTTGGGTAGGTCTGGGCCGTGAAGTGATTCTAAACCTATACTGCTGAAAGAGCTCTGATTCCATATGATTCCATTGGACAAACACCTCCTTTGACCAGTATATACATGAAGACATCGAATCGAAGACATATGAAGACCCATTCGACCCCTCAAAAGGCTCGCGGCTTGTCACACCGTGCCTCTGGATCGTCTGGATCCGCACCGACCTGATCACAGAGTGACTGGTCCGTCATCGCCACGAATTGTGGAGCTCCTGGGAGGGAATCCTGGGCATCCCAAAATTCCCGTGGCGGATTGTTCATGCGAGTCTCGTGTCTCTGTTTCCCAGGCCCCTGTCTCCCTCCCTTTAGCACCCCACAACCAGTCGACAGAACCAAACTGAGACCTCCAGGTGTCAAGAACCCACGTGAGACTGGGCCGCGCGCAGGAGCCGTCAAGGAGCTGGCTAAGATGCTCTGCACCGAACTCACTGAGGAGGCCAAAGAGGTTAACCTCACAACTTTGCACTCAGCGTTCTTTGTGGCTGTATGTGGAAAGAGTGAAAGAATCGTTGAACAAAAATTGATGAAACTTGAGGTCCCATGTATGCTTGAAGATCAAGACAGAAAGAGACTAGATTATGCTTTGTTTATGTTCTTTCTTTCACCTTAAGCGCAGTAGGAGGACTTGTCCTTCGCAAGACAAAAAGAGATTGAAAGCATCATTCAAACTGGAAATACAAAGCACAGGGTCCCTTCTCCAAAAAATACGAACAAGACAGTGGATTGCATGTTGCACTAGGGTCACTAGGGTCATGCTGTGAAAACACATCTTGTTTTGGAGTCAGAAGAAACTCCCATCGTCCGCCCGCCCAGCTAAGCTCATCTCGTGTGAGTCAAGTCCGGCATGGCCTGGCCATGCCATCAAATCTTCATCTCAAATACTTTGACAAGATGGCCAATCAGTGGAGCACGAATGGACCAAAAAGTCTCATGGAAGACTGCGCTAAAAAGAGACTCTCTGCTCAAGTTGAGCACTCCAAAAGCCGCCGCGAGCCTCCCTTGTGCAGCTGCGAGCCCTGCGCTCTTCTGCCACGAGGAAGCCTGAGGCGAAGTGTTCGCGGCGTCGCGGAAGAGTCACCTGGACGGACTGGAACAAATGCAAAGAACCCTGCACCTGGACCCATGTTTCCGTATATACTTCTTAAAGATCTATCATTACATATATATATAGAGAGAGAGAGAGAAAGAGCGGGCAGTTGTGGCAGTGCGCTTTTTGGCCCATTTGCTATGACAAATGGACTATTTATAATAACTTATATATACCTAATTCAATTATATATAGTTTAATTCTAATTCAGTTCTAATTCAACTCTACATGCATTCTAATTCAATTTTCTTTCAAATTCAATGCTAATTTAGATGTAAATAGAGTTAATTCAAATCCAATTTACATAATTCCATTCAAACCTAATTTCATAAGTTAAATCATATTTATTCCAATTTAATTATTGTTTAATTCAAATTGAATTATTGTTCAAGTCAAAAAATTCCAGAGAGCAGGTGTTGCTGGGGGATGTGAGTTTAAGACAAACTGATATAAAATCATGTGCTTTACAGTGTTCTCTTGCCCTGGGAGTGCTGGAACTAGGTCAATTGGTGAGGCTTTCCTGCTGGATGCAATTGTTGTACAGCCATGTTTGGCAGTGCAGTTTTCTTGACAAATGTTGACTCAAAAGAACACAAATTTGCGAGAAAACTGCCAGGAGTGCCCGTTATGTTTTGTATATTATATATACATGTCAATGTGTGTGTTTCTGAGTGATTTTGTATAATGATAATGATACTTCATAAAGGTTGCAGGGAAAAGAAAAACATTCACCCTGATTCTATCCTCTCTCCACCTCTCTCCCACATCCTGCCTACCAGCAAGTCGTAGCGAACCTGGGAAAGGCAACAAGTGTCCGAACAAGGGAATTGGACACCGAACGCAGCACAAGAACAGCAACGTGATTCCTTGTAAGGGTTTTTGTGAACATGCCCATGGCCTGAAGGGCTTATTTCACCATGGTCTATTTGATGTTGAAGTCCTCCGGGTCTATGATCGTGCAGCCGATGGCTCTGAGGCCAGGCACATGGATATCGTATCTCCAGCGTTCACATGGATCTTCCCAGGTGCTGCAACCTGTGGCATTGTTGTAGTAGTACCTCTTTGCAAAAACTGGTGTGGTATGCCTAAAAATGTGTTTTTTTGAAGGATGTCCAAGCATCACATGCCAACGGCGCACTGCTCCGTGTCTCCCAACGGTCCAGTCCATTGCTGCAAATCCTGTCAAAACGCATCGAAGGTCAGCCACTGCGACAAATCCCAAGGATATTCCACACAGCAAAGTCACAGTATGCAGGCTGAGCACCACGCAGCAGCGGCACGAGCCTGTGGCTCGGAAGCAAATTAAGACGGAAAAGGCTCCAGGTCTGGACGTGGGTTGATGTTCATATACTTTGGGGGGTGTCCGAAACGCATCTAAATTCCTTGTCCCACAAACTGCTCTTTCTCTTCCCTTTCGTGAACTCTGACATTGAATAACATATCTGTAAGTAGTAAACTCCAGCTTTGGTCGGGACCCCGTTCCCGATGCATACTTATTGTTTAAAACGGAAATCATCAACTCCGTTGGAAATCTTGAGTATATGTTGCTGTTGTATGCTGTGTGTGTGTGCCCGAAACGTTTCAACCATCCGCCGTCCACAAAGTCCAAGACGGACTCAACCAATGCACCAAGTCAATAGATGTCAATAAATACCAATGCACTAACAAATGCAAAGGTTGCGCATGCGATGTATCTCATGTATCTTTGGTTCCCGAAACCACCAATGAAGTGTGCGAAAGGACTGGCTTTTTCAGACGACTCCCATTTGCCCAATGAGTTGTGCGTTGGCTGAACTGATTGAAAAACCTTATTTAGCAAATGCGACCAAATTCAGTGCTGCCGCAATTGGAAGAGGCTGAAACTACTTCTGAAAGTCAGTAGATATGGGTCATCAAACCATGTTAGCAACACACCGAGAGACTTGAATCAGAGTTTTGCTAGCTAAACAGGCATCTGATCTGACCAGGTTGGCTTTCTACAGCAGCGG